GTGGTGGACAGAACGTGCGCGCAGATTTTGCCTGCTTTGTGGTGGACATAAGGCGCGCGCAGATTTTGCCTGCTTTGTGGTGGACATAAGGCGCGCGCAGATTTTGCCTGCCTTGTGGATGATATAAGGTGCGCGCAGATTTTGCCTGTTTTGTGGTGGACATTTGTTGCACGCTGATTTTTACCTGCCTTGTGGTGGACATAAGGTGCGCGCAGATTTTGCCTGTTTTGCGGTGGACATAAGGTGTGCGCAGATTTTGCCTGCTTTGTGGTGGACATAAGGTGCGCGCTTTGCCTGCTTTGTGGTGGACATATGGCGCGTTGCCTGCTTTGTGGTGGACATTCGGGCTCATATTCCGCCTAGCCACCAAAAACAATGTAAAACAACTTGAAACCTGTGATAAAAAGCTGAAAATGTTTCAAATCAAATTCTTACATTGAATGAATTCTTGCTGTGGTTGATGTAGTTTCGTGGAATTTCCAGTGGCAGAGCTTCATTTTGGGCTCATATTCCGCCAAGCCAACCAATAAATGTAAAAAAAACTTGAAACCTGTGATTAAAAAAGTTGAAAATGTCCTAAATCTATTGCCAAAATACTTGAAACTGTGATAAAAGACTGAAAGTGTCCTAAACCTAATGCCCAAGTTCTTACATTGAATGAATTCTTGCTGTGGATGATGTAGTTTCGTGGAATTTTCAGTGGCAGAGCTTCATTTTGGGCTCATATTCCGCCAAGCCAACCAAAAAATGTAAAACAACTTGAAACCTGTGATAAAAAAAACTGAAAATGTCCTAAACCTACTGCCAAAAAACTTGAAACCTGTGATAAAAAATCCGAAAGTGTCCTAAATCTAATGCCCAAGTGCCTACATTGAATGAATTCTTGCTGTGGTTGATGCAGTTTTGTGGAATTTTCAGTGGCAGAGCTTCATTTTGGGCTCATATTCCGCCAAGCCAACCAACAAAATGTAAAACAACTTGAAACCTGTGATAAAAAATCTGAAAATGTCCTAAATCTAATTCCCAAATTCTTACATTGAATGAATTCTTGCTGTGGTTGATGTCGTTTCGTGGAATTTTCAGTGGCAGAGCTTCATTTTGGGCTCATATTCCGCCAAGCCACCAAAAAATGTAAAACAAACTTGAAGCCTGTGTTAAAAAAAACTGAAAATGTCCTATATCTAATTCCTGCAAGAGTTGAATCACATGAATTTTGCCTCCTGGATCCAGATTAGCACGGCCCGGTCAACGCACAAACATACAAAAGGCACATGTTCCTTTCAACACGGCGATGGCACTGTTTCACAAGTCTATCTCTGCAGCGTCTGCAGGGCTATCGTCATCATCATCATCCAAAAGCAGCCTGGCGATCTCTATGGCTAGCACCAAGCAAAGCAAAGCCGACATCCATTTGTATGTATCCATGCTGTGTGATCCACAAAATGGCTTCGGTTTGCTCATGTGTACTCCATGGCGCGCGTGCGCGGGAAACGCATGTGTGGTTTGACCAATCCAAAGTTCGGCAAACTGTTTGTATTTTCCTCATGCGAACGTCTCGCCTTCCGCGCCGCCGTCATTTGCAGTCATCTGAAGGTCTGCCCCCAACAGGTCGCAAATGCAGTCTTTGCAAATCATCATCAGTCTTTGCAAATCATCAAGGCGTCTCTCTGTAAAAACTTCAGGAAAGAAACTTGGCAAGCGTTGAATTTGGAACCACATGGCACACAAGGAGCCGCGCAACAACCCGTCCTGCCAAGGTAAGGCGCAATGATTTCCAGCCAGCAGCTTAGACAGCTTGCAATTTTCCGGAGCATTTTTTCGTTGTCCTCTTGGGACGGGCTGCCCGCGGTTGCAAATCCATCTGTGATGCCGCAAGACAGCCTAGCTGTCTGCTATATAGCCAAACCTCGCGGCCATTCGTTCGTGCAAATGAAACAGCTCGATTTGCCTGGCAAACGCTTGTGACGCATCCAACAAAAGAACAATTGTGAAGTGTGTCTTGCAAACACGCGCAAATTTGCTCAACATCTGCCCATTGTTCCAACAAATTGGGCGGAAAAAAGCTACCCAAACACATGTGAAAAAACATAAAAAATACGTTTTTTAGCTAAATACACAAATTTACTACACACAATTTTACCACACGCCCAAATTACAACACAACAAATACTACACACAATTTACTACACAAGAATTACTACACAGCAAAAAATGTAATTTTGGTCAAATTACTACACAACAAGGTGTTGTAAAATGCACAAATTACTACACAACTGCCAATGATGTAATTCTTTGTGTAGTAAAATTACCACACTTTGACCCTTCAGGTGCGGAGATTGGGTTGGTCAACGGCGCCGTGGGCAAAGGGCTTGCCACTGCCACGCTTGTTCACCGGTCCTGATGCTGCTTGCGCAGCGCCCGCTGCGCCCGCTCGGCGCCTGCCGGGCTTGTGTGCGCGCATTGTTGCGCTGCAAGTCGGGGCGTGGGAGGCATTGCGCCTGACAAATTGAGGGCTGTGGAGGTCTGCGCTTCTTGCGGGGAAGGATTTGACGCTAGGCATCGAGCTTGCAGCCCGCTTAACCGAAGCTGAGTCGCACAATTAAATCAGGGCAGCCCCCTCACAGTGTTCCCTGACTCTTTCTGTAAATTAAATTAATTGCGCCTATCTCATGCTTGCGCTGAGAACCCGAGTTCGGCCAGTTCCGGACCGTGCCGGAAATGTGAGGGGCTGTTCCTGGATCCTTTCTGGCATGTCTGAGAAAGGCTCCAGCGTTTGTTCGTTGTCTCAGACATGCCGGAAAGGGTCAGGGACAGCCCCTCACACCTCCGGACCGGTCCGGAACTGTGAGGGGAAGCCCTGGCCAAACTCGGGTTCTCAGCGCTAGCATGAGATAAGCGCAATTAATTTAATTTTCAGGAAACAGTCCGGGAACCCTCACAGTCCGGAACTGTGAGGGAAGCCCTGCCCGAGTTAGGCGAGCGAGAGACAGGCGCAACTAGTTAGTTTAATTGCGTGCTTCGTGTTCAGCTAAGCTGTCTGAGGGCCGTAAAATCGTTGCCTAGCGTCACTTCCTTCCGTGCCATGTAAGAAGCGCAAATGCTTCGCAGCCCTGGCAGTCAACGGCGCGCCGGTCAAAGAAGCTTTGTGCGCTTGTTCACCGAGGAGCGCTCGTCGTGCCCTCCGTCGGCGCTTGCTGGGCCTGTGGGCGGAACAGGCCTTGGCCCTCTTTGTCGTCGCCCAATCCCCGCAAAGTAGCGGCAGGCAGCTCTCAGCCGGGTCAGTTGCGATGTCCTTTGACATGCATTCACGCACGCTTTTCAACATTGAACTTGTCTCCGCGCAAGGTCGCAAGCGCTAACTTTGCAAGCTCCTGGGCGCAACCCTGTGACAAGCAATCCTCGTTTTGGGGCACGAACACGTCGTTGCGCCGACCAGCGGGCGGAGGACATCTTTGGCTACTCCTTTGCATTTTGCTGGACACGTGGACGTGCCACACAAATGCGCCCAAAATGATTGAATGCGCTTTCCCAACTCGCTGCTTCCAAGGTTCAACTCAAGCTTAGTGTTCCCAGAAGTTCAAGAAAACCCGGACTGACGCCAATGTTGGACTCTCCAACTTCTGAACCCATCGCTACAAAACTTGGAAAATCAAGCTGGTTCGGGCAAACTTGACATAGCAAAAGTCGTTGGCTCTTTGTAGGAGGCGCGAAAATTCTGCTGGTTCAGACAGCGCTTGCCAAGCCCTTGCCGAGCAGTTCCAACTTGCTGATCAGCCTGCCGTCGCACTCGCAGCCATTATAATATAGAACAGCTCGCTAGCTCCAACACTGAGCTGAGCAGACGTGCCAGCTGGGCAAGCCCGCATCTCTGTACGGAGTTCCATGGAAGATCGAAGTGGGTTCTGCGGGCTTTCAGGCGCGCCGCGGATTGCTGCAACACTCTTAGCCTGCGCCGCCGTTTTGCGAGCGAAGTTTGGAGGCCCGTGACCGCGCGGGCCGCTTTTCCCAGGCTTAACCGTTGCGGCTGTTCTTGCCTAGCGCAAAGACCCACGAGACAAACACAAGGGCTCGACGCGATTGCCCGAAATTAAATTAATTGCGCTAACAAGACCCCAGTTGATGTTGCTTGGTTTTGGTGTTCTTGCTTTGGTGCCGTACTGGGACATTAGGAGGTCACGGTGGCCTGCTTCGCGCAGTGATCCCCGTGCAACGGCAGGTCTATGTCCTTGGCGCTGGGTTGTGGGCTGTTGCGCTTGGCGCAGGAGTGGAGTCCGTACGAAACGAATGGAGTTTGCTATGTGTGGTTGGTATGTGAGCCCTGTGATGCATGTTGGGTAGCGGGTTGATTTGCCTCGCATATGAAGAAGAAGATAGGAAACCTAGGTGTAGTTTCTCCCGGTCAGCGGAGTGTCGCCATACGGCTGCAGACGGATGCAAAAACTTGGCAAAGGTTTGTATTATTGACAATGTTTTGAAGGAAAGCCAAGGGCACCAACAAAGCAAACTTAGCACGGTGCGTAGAAATCTCTCCTGTCAACTTCTCTTCTGCACGATGCTGTGAGTTGATGCTGTGCCTGAAGCTGAGCGTAATGCTGCTCGGGATGTTCCGCATGATGCTGCGCATGATGTCGCGCATGACGCCGCTTATGGTGCTGCGCATGATGTTCCCTCTTGCGCGTCGAATCTTACGTGTTCGTTGCTCTTGTCAGCCTTTCTGGCTCAATCTGTGCGCACCTTGGCTGAGCGAGAAGGCTGGCGGCTTTAGCTGCGGAAGTGCGCGCTTTGCGCTTACAAGTTGCGATTTTCTGTTAGCTGCACCCCCATTTGCTTAAGAATGTTTTATTTTCCTTTTTTGGTTTTAGAGGGAATCTGTCACTACAGGATTTTGTAAAATATTTCCAGGGGGCTTAAGCGAACAGAGGTGCAAGAGTGCGTTTCGCGCAGCTTTCAGTGGCAAACTTTACCCGAGTCAGCGCGCAGCTGCCCCGTTCGAGCTCGAGGTCGCCTATACAAAATTCTCATGATGGCCGTGCTGGCAGACGGCAAGGTGGACGACTCCGAACGGAAGCTGTTGAGCAAGTATAGGCAGGGTGCCTTCGCTGCGGCCCATAGCTGCGTGAAACCCCAGTCCCCATGCCATACTTGCAGTCATGTTCTGATGGCGATGGCTTTGTGTACTTCTTCAGCCCCAAACTCTGCGTTCACGCATTGCTTTGGAGCCATAACCACGATCCCTTCTGAACAGCGGGCGGGGGTGTTTAACAAGCCTACAACCGCCGCACGAACGCCGGAACTGGCATTGATTGATTTTACCAGGAACGGTGTTGGCTCTACCCTGGAAGGTAGTAACACATCCTGTCATACACAGTACAGGTACCGCGCTACACTGTTCTACACTACTCCCGTTCCGACTTGTTATCAGCCGTAGGCGGCTCTGCAAAACCTGTAAATGTGTTGGTTTATTCATCAACTACGTCGCCAAGAAAGAGGCGCAATGGATATTTCAGAGGATACAAGCGCAGCCACATGTGGTCGCGATTCATCAGGAAGCTCGAACAAGCGCATGGCTCTTCCGGCTATTGCAAATACTCCTGATGGAACGCGGGCGCAAGCTCTTTACAGAGCATGGGTTGCGTCGCGGAACCACGACATGGAACGATAGGTCAAAACCACCGTTTGTCACCACCAAGCCGAAGGCTATCGAAGGTGACTGCACGTATTTGACGCGCGAGAGCTAGAGCCGGCTTCAAAGACCACACGCGTGCCCAAGGAGAAACTTGAGGAGGCGCACGGTGAGGATTATGGGAGTACGCTACGCAAACAAGAGCTGGAAGACAGAGCGCGGGATCTTGCCAAGTGAGACATATTCTACAGAAGCACCATCCTGAAATGGACATGCGAGGCCTTACATTGGAGAGCACGAAAGAATGAGGCACTTTCAGAGAGTCAAGCAGCACACCTTGTGCAGCAATATAATGACAAGGATGAACTTGCAAGACAGACGGCTGGGGAATTCAAGAGAGAGAGAGAGAGGGATCGAAGAGGTATTGCGTTCCGTGACGGATCTATCATTGATGTATGCGGCGGAGGTCGAACAACAGACTTCTGCACAGGTATCCCAACTGGAACACACAGCGAAACACCGAGGTCAAGGCGAAGCCTGACAACGCAAGCGAGCCGCCGTTTTGCGCAGACGTACATGCTTGCGAGAAAGGCGAATGAGGTTCTTGTATGTGCAAAACAAGAAGTCAACATCGCTAGAGCTGCCGTTGACGAGCGCAATGGGCTTTGCGTGAATGGCGAATCAATATTGCGGGCTGATCGTGAGCGTGCGATTGCAAAAGTTCAGGCTGCACCATATCTGAGCAAAAGGCAGGAGCGCCTTGATAGTGAGCTCAACACGCAGGAAGACTGTTGGCAATCTGCGGAGTTGCTTGTCGGGACGGGGTCGAGAATGAGAAGCAAAGGCTGGCGGACGCAAATGAAGCAGTGATGAATCAGGCCAAGGATTGAGAAGGGGAACTACGATGTGGAGAAAGGTTGCGTCCATCAACTTGCTGTGGAAAAGTTAGAGCTGAAGGGCAATGCTGAAACTTCGACAAAGATCAGCTCACCAAGCAAAGAAGAGAAGGATGGTGGTCTTCGTTGCGCTTGGGGTGCTTTTTCACGGCCAAGCCATGCGCTCGAGCCATGTGAGCAGCTTCGCTCTTCTGCCTGGCTTCGCGGGCGACTGCAAACTGCAACGCGCTCGCGTGTTACAGAACACCTTGGTCGAGAAGTCCTTGCCGTTCTTTCTTCGTGGACTCCATCGCCTTGCGAGTAGAATGCAGCTCAGCGCGTCCAACAGGTCTGAGTTGGGGGACTTTGCAAGCTTTATCACCTTCTCCTCATGGAAGTTGTCAGCTGGAGCGCAGGGCACGCTTGGAATACTATTCGTTACACCGATTGTAGCCGGCGCAGCGTTGCAGGAATATTTACCAACTTCACCAGCAGCCAAACCGTCCCATTCATGAACTATTAAGAAGAAGACGGGTGCCACATTTACGGGGATTAGACCTTAACCCAAATAATATAAAACAAGATAAAGCAAGCTAACAACAAGATGCAATATAAAAAAGATAAAACAAGCACAAAGATAAAACCGGCAAAAAGGGACACACAACAACAACAAACAATCAAAGAAACAGCAAACAAGGCCCAAGATAAAACAAACAAAATAACCCACAATAAATGCAAACACATGCAACAAATGGAAAACATGTGCAAACACATGCAACACACACATGCTAAAAACAGCACACTGCCATTTATAAATTGAATATGCTGTGTTTAATGCGTTACCACCATTCAGACATCATTCCGCAGGCGTTCATAAATTGAAGATGTTTATCACTTGTGCTCCATATAGCTATTGTCTTTTTCCTTCCCCAGCTGCCGTTGCCATGGCCCAAGTAAGTAACTTGCTGTGGCCATGCCAACTCGTGCTCAGTAGCTTAATCACTGTCACAGGCCGGTTCAAATGCACGGCCACACATCAAGTCAAACCCCGCTGCTAACTTGTGGCAAGGACAAGTGCGCTGCTCGACTTCATCGCGACAGATCAGCCAACGGTCATCGTTCTCTGACTCGTCTGTTTGATGTTATTCTGCGAGCAATGGGGCATTACAATTTCTTGGTTTCGTTGTTGACTGTCATGACCACTGCTCCGCACATGGCAGCAAACATGTGCACAATTGCTTTTCCAGGAGCCTGGATGGGCTCATGTGCCAAAAAAAGTTCTCCATTGCATCATGCGCATCTTATCATTCTCGCACGACCCACCATGCCCAAGCCGTTCGGCGCAGTCAGCTGGGCAGCCCACTCCGCGCTGTGATCCCGCATCATAACTTCTGCGTAAGTGGCCCTCACCAGAGCTGTCGTATCAATGCTGGGCCAAGGCTCAATTCCTTCTTAACCGGGCATCATACCCAGGAAGAAGCCAATCTCCCCATCTGGATCTTGCGGCTGATTAAGTTCCCCTTCTGAGCATTGTCGGCGTGATTCATTGCCAGCTCCGATTCATTGCCAGCTCCGGCGGGGGAGTCTGAGTGTCAAACTCAGGCTCAGGAAGGTCAGGCACTCTTGAACACACTGTTTCACTTGATGCTGCTGCTGCTGAGTCACGAACTTCGGTCACTGTCTCTGTCGCTGTCCGAGCCTTCTCAGTCTGCGGGTGATTCGACACGACGCTGGACACGCAAAGATACTTGACCTGCCGAAGCTTGACCCGCTAAGCATGATGCTAAGCCTCAGCATGTGCACTTCTGTCTGGCCAATGTGTTTGCCCATAACACATAATGACTCGACATGGAAGGAACTGTTGCAGCCTAAACACAGGTCATGGCTTGCGTAGTATTAGTCTGCAACTCATGACAGCAAGCGTGTGCGCCTAGGACTGTTGCCACGACACTGCGAGTGACACTGGCTTGTGTGGATTTCTCAACAATTCACTTTTGAAGTCAACAAAACGACAACTTACCTGCTCCTATCATTCCTTATTGAGTGCTGGGAACAATGCCATGTCAACCATGACACACTCTCACTCGCACGGCCGCCTGTTTTGCCAAAGCCTGGTGTTGCAAGTCAAGTTGTCTGCCTAAGAAGTCAGCTTGGTCCATCGGCAAAATTCACAGGTTAATTACTTTAACTTGTCTGGACTTCCCCAGGCCAACTTGGGCGCACTGCCCGGCATTGAAGCACACTGCCGAGCTTGGACACACTGCCTGGCTTCGCGGCGATCTTTGCTGCGCTGACTGAAGGCCAATGTCAATCCAGCGCCAGACCACGACGCATGGAATATGCACGAGCAAGCTTGTGGCAAGCGCATTGACACTGAGGGTCGCAATGGTGCGCTAATCCGCACACAGCGCGCCAAAGAACATGATCTCTCGCAGCCAAAGTAATAGTTCCAGCCCTGGCAGTGAAAAACCACACATTTTTGGTGCATCGACGTGCTGTAAGCCTTGGGCGTCCGAACAATCCAGTCGCCTTCAATGAACCTGAGTTGGCGATCGGTAGACTCCAAGGGCAGATGTAGCTTGTCAGCAACCGCATCTTGAATCGCCACTGGCAACCTTTCTTGTCTTGGTTGAAGTGGAGTTGGAGAGCGTGGTCGTTTCTTGCTTGCGCAGGTCACATTCTGAGACTGAGCTTCATTCATGATCCTCTTTCGCCGCCTCCTGCTAATGTAGGTGTTGCTGATCTTTTAATTCAGCCAAATTGTGCAGCTGGGGTGCAAGCCCATGCTATCTAAGGCGGATGCTACGCACAGCTGCACGAACGTGCCCAGCTCCGCCATTGCAAGTTCCACAAGTAAATTCAATAACACTGGACAGTTGAGCCGAACCTCAACATGCTTTGTCAGCCAACCAGCATGTGAAATGTGCAGCGCGCCAGCGCAAGAGCGTTTGAATTCAGCACGCCAGAGGTCCGTGCAATTTTCCGAATCGGAGTCACACTCAAGGCAGCCTGGATCCAGCCCTTGTAAGGCGCTTGTCTTCCTGAAATTGCCTTTTGTGAACCATTTGCCTCATGATCCAGGTGTCTCGGCCTCCTGGAGCTGGATGAAGTTTGCGTTGCCCGCACTGAATGTGACAAGTCTTGCAAAAACTTGAGACCAAACAAGCGGATCATACACAGCAGGTCCCCGTGCGGCTGAGTGCTGCAGTGCAGGCATGAGCATCAGTCATGGCAGAATCATCAGCACTGGAAGCGGCAATGGCGCTTGGAGAACTTGAAGCAGCGTGTGGGTGTGGCCTTGGCTGGCCGCTCTTCTGGAGCAGCCTGATTGTTGTCCTCTCCCGTGGCTGGCCTCGAAACTTCTGGAGCAGCCTGGTCCTGCATAGCAGGCCTAGCGGAGTCAGGGCACGCAGACACTGAGTGAGTCCTACGAAGGATGCGCCGCTGCCATCTTGGCCTGTGCCTTGGCCTTTGCCTTAGGCGCAGCCTTTGCTGTGGTCATTGCGTGCTTGACAATTGTCCATTCCTTCTGCTTCACACGAGCCTTCTCGTTGTCGATTGTTTTTCACTTGATCCAACTCACGACG